TGTTCTCTGGAGTGACCAATCACGCTTCTCTGTCTGGCAATCCGATGGGCGTGTCTGGGTTTGGCGGTTGCCAGGGGAACGGTACTTGCCTGACTGCATTGTGCCAAGTGTAAAGTTTGGGGGAGGGGGGATTATGGGGGGAGGAGGTGTTTCAGGGGTTGGGCTCCGCTCCTTAGTTCCAGTGAAGGGAACTCTTAAGGCCTCAGCACACCAAGACATTTTGGACAATTTCATGCTCCCAACTTTGTGGGAGGAGTTTGGGGACGGCCCCTTCCTGTTCCAACATGACTGCGCACCAGTGCACAAAGCAAGGTCCATAAAGACATGGAGGGGGGAGTTTGGGGGGGAGGAACGTGACCGGCCGCACAGAGTCCTGACCTCAACCCCATAGAACACCTTTGGGATTAATTAGAGGCGGAGACTGCGAGCCCCTCCCCCAACATCAGTACCTGACCCCACAAATGGTCCAACATTCCCATAGACACACCCCTAAACCTTGTGGACGCTTTCACAGAAGAGGCGGAGCTGTTATAGCGGCAAAGGGCGGAGCCAACCCAATACTGAACCCTACGGACTAAGACTGGGGGGCCATTAGAGTTCATGTGCGTGTAAAGGCGCCCCAATACTTCTGGTAATACAGGTACAGTGTGTATATATATGTATATACGTCTGCTGGGTCTGCTGACATCACATCCAAGAGGACATGCCTAAAATATGTTAAATGTTCATGTAATCTTATGGGAAGGTTGTCGAAAAGGAATAGTCTGGTGACAGGTTCTGTTTATTACACGCTCTCTGTGTTTTTATCTCCATGGTCCGCGCTCACCACTTTTGGAAGTGACGGGAACATCCAAACGTTTGAGTTGTACTGGAGAAGGGATACGGAGAAGATCTTCCAATGAGGACAACTGAGGGCAGATCACGTCAGGCTAATCCATGTGACCTGCCTCAGCCTGACCACATCACAAACGGACCCGGCCGGTGCTGAGGACGTATCTGGATTTCAGCAAAGCTTTTAATACAGTTCCACATAATGGTCTCGTAAATAAATCGTACCGGCGAGGACTGGTTATGCGGTTGGCTAAAGAAGAGACATCAGAGTGCGGTTGTAAATGGAGTTCATTCAGCACAGAGACCGGTCACTAGTCAGGCTCGGCACTTGGGTCTGATCTATTGAACCTGTAAGTGACGGTTGGGTGGGTGAGATGTGTTAGGGTCACCTAACCCTTAGATTGATATTCCTGGAGGTGATGGAACATGATTCGGTGTGATTGGAAGATCGGTCGAAGAAACTACAATTCAACATTTCTTAATGTAAAATAGAATCCTCTGATAGAGTGGAATAATGGGGGGTATAGTGTTGGTCAATATTAGAGGGGTCCCCAGCAGGAGGAAGGAGGTCCTGATCCCTCTATATAGATCTTTATTATCACTAGAGGGATCTCCAGTAGGAGGAAGGAGGTCCTGATCCCTCTATATAGATCTTTATTATCACTAGAGGGACCCCCAGCAGGAGGAAGGAGGTCCTGATTCCTTATATAGATCTTTATTATCACTAGAGGGGTCCCCAGCAGGGGGAAGGAGGTCCTGATTCCTCTATATAGATCTTTAGTTATCACTAGAGGTGTCCTCAGCGGGGGAAGGAGGTCCTGATCCCTCTATATAGATCTTTATTATCACTAGAGGGACCCCCAGCAGGGGGAAGGAGGTCCTGATCCCTCTATATAGATCTTTATTATCACTAGAGGGGTCCCCAGCAGGAGGAAGGAGGTCCTGATCCCTC